AGCCATGTAAAGCAAGCCAGTAAGTAGCACCCCTCCATGGCCTCTGCATCAACTCTTGCCTCCAGGTCCCTGTCCTGTTTGAGTTCCTGTCCTGACTTCCTTTGATGATGAACAGTGATATGGAAGTATAAACCAAAATAACCCTTTCCTCCCCAACTTGCTTTTTGGTCATGGTGTTTTTGATGCAGCAGTAGAAACCCTGACTAAGACAGCCATAATGCTGGAGTCCTCATCAGCCATATAGCCAACATGTACCAGATCTGGGATCTGGGATGGACATCAAATGCCTTGAAGGGTGGTACCAAAGACGAGTTGAGCCTTAAATAGTTGCGGGTCACTAAAAAGACGAAGGGGGTCTGGTAGTAGTACACCTACCAGCTCCATGGCTTTCTGAAACAAATGTTTACTCTCATCCACTCAGAGGCTACAGAACTGCTCCCACCAATCAAGTCTGAAAAAAAAATAAGGCCAGCCAGTATGAGAGCAATAAAAGCAGAAGCGTCTCCTGAGGCCTGGCCCCAATCGCAGCATGTGAACTGTGGGCACACCTTCAGTCTCACCCTTCATTCCAGGTCCCCTCTCACAAGGGAGAGTCCTTGGGTAAGGCACTTCACTTCCCTGGCCTCAGTTTCCCCACCTGTCAATCAGAGAGGAGTGAAGAGGTTAATGCAGGAAAAGCACTTGGCCTTCAGCAAGACTAGACAGACAGTTGTTAGCATCCCTGTCACCGTGGCGATCACTCCAGTAAAGTGGTGAGAATAGAGGCCCTTAATACAGAGGACACCATGCCAATGTCCTCCAACATATGCTCACCATCCAACCATGACCAGAGGAGAGGGATCAAAGATCCCTTGGTGGTGTTAGGATCCAGGTAGATGTCGCCAGTAGGTGGAGTATGAATGCAATTGGCCCCCATAAGCTCTTAGGGAGTGGCACTATTAGGAGGTGTGGCTTTGTTGGAGTGGGTGTGGCCTTGTTGGAGGAAGTGTGTCACAGTGGGGCAGGCTTTGAGGTCTCCTATATTCAAGCTAATCCCAGTGTCACAATGCAGTTCCTGTTGCCTTCCTGCACACCACTACGCTCCCTGCCATGATGGTCATGGACTGAACCTCTAAACTGTAAACCCCCACCTCAATTAAATGTTTCCTTTATAAGAGTTGCCGTGGTCATGATGTCTCTTCACAGCAATAGAAACCCTGACTAAGCACCTGAACATATTCTTACAATCCCGTGTCATGTCCCTAAGTACCATCCCTCCTTAGTTACTAACAATGTCTCAGTAAGTCGATGTTGGCTCAGGTGTGACAGTGGACCACTGGAGGGAGGAAGTCTGCTATGGAGGAGGCTGTGTTGGGGGAATGGGGGCAAGACTGTACTTTCCTAGCTGTTTTACTACGACCCTAGCGTGACTCTAAAATTTAGCTTTATAATTTGTTTGAGACAGAGTTTCATGTGTCCTAGACTGGTCTCAAACTTTCTATGTAGCCAAGAATGACCTTGAATTTCTGGTCCTCCTGCCTCTACCTCCTAAGAAGTGAGATTACAGACATGATCTACCACACCCAGTTTATGCAGTGCTGAGAATCGAACCCAGGGTTTCATGCATGCTAGGCAAGCACTCTACTAACTGAGCTACATCAGCCTAATTTTTACTAATTTCATAAAGCCCAATTTTATTGGTGGATGTAGTGGTGTACACCTGCAGTCGTGGTTCCTTAGGAGCCTGAGAGAGGAAGACCACTCCATTCTAGGAGTTAAAGACCAACTTGGACCACATAGCTGTGTCCCATCTCAAAAAAGAAGGAAAAGGAGGAAAGAAATGAAGAGAGGGAGAAGGAAGGAGGGATGGAGAAAAGGAAATGAAGGAAGGAGAACAGAGGGAGGGAGCAAGAGAGGGAAAAATAAAGACGGGAGGAGAGGAGACCAGCTTAGGCCTGACAATAGACCTATAATCCCAGCTGCTTGGGAGGCAGGCAGTGGAAGTCAGAAAATTCAAGAACAGCCTGAGCTACACAGAGAAACCCTGTCTCAAATTTAATTTAAGAATTTTTTTTAAATTCTTTTAAATTTTTTAAATTTTTCAAATTTAATTAAAAAAAAATTCTTTTGAGACACGGTCTTACATAGCCCAGGCTGGCCTCAAGCTCATGGAAGCATGCACCACCATACCTGGTTTATGTCGTGCTGGGCATCAAGCCTAGGGCTTCATTCATGAGAGGCAAGCACTCTACCTACCGCGCTATATACTCCCAGACCCTCCTATTTTTTTTCTAAAGTTTTAAGAGCTGGGAATGTAGCTCAGTGGTGGACCAGTATGTATAAGGCCCTGAGTTCTATCCCCAGCACTATTAAAAACAAAAACAAACAAACAAACAAAATCAACCATAATGAGGCAGAGCTGCATAAAAATAAGCTGATGGTCTTTAATGTACAGGATGAATATTCCCTAATGAATCCTCCCACACACAACCACAACCAAGAAACTGACGGTTCATCACCCAAGAAGCCAGCTCCTGGGCTGCTTGTCAGTGGAAATCCTGTTTTCTACGCCTATGCTGCACTTACCCACACGGAGCAGAGGTGTAGACATCAGAGCCCTGCCTCTGGGTTGGCAAGTTTTCCATCTCAGAGCTTGGCTCCTTTGTTTATTCACCGGCCAGTCCAGTGGGGGTGATTATAAATATAGCTGCTGGGACATCAGCCTGGCTGCTGGACAGGGCCAATGTGTGTGTGGACCTCTGAGAAAACAGCCTCTGCTCAGTTACTAACACCGTTCTGTTAGCACCATTTCTCTGTCCAGCCAGCCAGCCCCAAGCAGGAAGGGTCCTACTACTGAGCACCCACTGAGGCAGACCCTGGCAAAAGCTTTAGCTCAGGGCTCCTTCCGAGCTGCCTAGGAAGCATACTATACAGACAGGTCCCTGGCCAAGAGAGCTTGTGACCTGGGTGGGGCAGGAGCTGGGAACAGAGGAAGCAGGACAGAATTGCAGTGTCCAGACTCCAGCTCTGGTCCAGACATAAACCTACATTGCTGGTGTGGAGTATGTGACTCTTCCTCCCCACAGAGAACCCACCAGATGCGTACACGCAACCCCCAGACATGAACGCACAACCTCCAGGCATGTACACACCCCCCCAAGCATGCACTATGCAGCCCCGAGATATGCACACACAGCCTCCAAACATGTACATACAACCTCCAGGCATGCATACACAACCCCAGACATGTACACACAATCTCCAGGCGCATACACACAGCTCCCAGGAATGTATATACAGTCCCCTAGACATGCACACAAAGCCTCAAGACATACGCATACAGCCTCTAGCCTGCAGACCCTGCCTCACATACAAGAACAAGCCCACGTGCATGGCACACATGCAGAAGCCTGTTGAACATGCACAAGCTGAGGGACTATAACCAGCCACTTTCAGATGCCGATACTTGAGCACCAGATCTGGCTTAGCCATAGGCTGCTGCACAAGATGCCTTAGGCTGGGGCTGACAGAAAGCAAAAATGTACCTCTTGTGGTCCTGGATGCTGGAAGTCCAAGGGCAGATCTGTTGACAAACTCTCTATCTCATCTGGCCGGGGAGCTGCAGTTCTCCCATCTCTCTGTAGGAGCACTGGTGCTATTCATGGGGACCCACCCCTATGTCCTGATTGCTGTCCAAGTCTCCCAGCCTTGGGGTTAAGATGTCAAAATATGAGTTGGGGCGGGGAGGGGGGGGACTTCAGATCTTAGCCTAAAGCAAGCAAAGCATCCATCCACGTCCACACAACTTTCTCCAGGCATCAAACTGAGCCCACACAGACCATGCCCACTCCCTCCTGTGGTGCACATGTGAACAGATACACACATACTGAACAGGCAGACACAGCTCACAAGGGCCCAGTCAGCAGGTGGGCAGACGGTGTCTACAGTGCTCTGTGGCCTAGAACTTTCCCCTTCCTGGAGCCTAGACAAGGTCATCTTGGAGGTAGAGACAGTTCATCCTTGCCCATGCCCAGGGCCAGCTGCCAGCAGCAAGAAGTCTTCTGTCCTTCAAGACCCGGGACTTCTTCCTCTCCAATGAATGGGGTTGCTCTGATGGACACTCACTACCTACCTTCTGTGTCCCCGTGAACAGGGGAGTCCCCTTGCATCTGGGCAGAGCCAGAAAAGCTGAAGTAAGGGATGGTGATAGGCAAGTGAGCAAGAGGGAAGGGGACAGTAATGTGGGCATCCAGGGCTTCAGAGGACACCGCCTTCTGCACGAGTGCAACCATGATGTCACTGTCTAGAAAGAAATAGCATGACATCAGTACCTGGCCCCTCTCCTACCCCGAGCCAAGCCACCTCATACCAAGCCAGCTCTCTGCCCCATTTGCCAGCCCCAGGATTCCACCTGGCTGGGGCATCCAGCCTGAAACCCAGAGATGCCCATCCACTTGGGACATCCACAGACCTGAGGCTTAGCCCCTGCCCACCTCTACCACAAGCAGAAGCCAGCTGTCTGTCTCAGCGAGGGCATAGTGGGTACTGGACAGTCCCCAACCCAGTGAGGTCTCTCTGAATAGTAGTCTCCAGAGCCATAGGTCCTGGGGTTTTTTATCCACAAGCCACAGACCAAGAGACCTGGATGTGGGCAGCATGATGGTCTTTTAAACATCTGACCCCTAAGTGTCAAGGCCAAGAGCATCTCTTCTTCCTTCATAAATGCCCACACACCCTGGCTGGGCCCCTAGGCTAGCCAGTCCAAGGCCCCACAGGATGCTCCGTGTGATGGTCAAGCTAAGGCACCCAGGCAGGCAGCTCGGATTATGGGGAAACAATCCAACTCTATGCACATGGCCAGCCGGTTCTTCAACTCTCCCTGAGATGGCCAGACCAGTCAGGCGGCTTTGGGCAGTCCCTGCCTCCTAGCTGCTCCCGGCTGGGAGAATCTGAAACCTGTCAGGCGGGTTTGGTCAAAATTCTGTCTTGCAAGTTCATACTGCTTGCTCCTATCTCTCCCAGGAGGGGATCACTCAGGACCGAGGCCCCTGGAGGTCCCAGGCTGGCCAAGTGGCCATGTGAGTACCGGCTACAGCAGGCAGGGCCCTTCTAGGAGCTGGGTGGACTGAAGTTGTTGGAGTGCTCAGCATGGGGCTGGAGACCCAGCTCAGACTTCAGAACAGGAGGGCCGGGAGGCAGAAGGCAGGAAGCAGGCTGGGAGGCGGGAGGCAGGGACAGGCAGGCTGGCCTGCCTTCACCTGTGGGAGGTATGGAGGACTACCTGATGCCTGGTCCTGGGGACCAAGCAAGGAGGAGAAGGGCTCAAGGGTTTCCTGGGCAGCAAAAGCAAAGCCTGGCATGGCACTGTGGCCCCACGCTCTGCGGAAGGGTTCCAGGGCCTAGGAACAGGCTGGGTGTCTTATTCCTAATAGGCACCGTGTCCTGGACCTCTCACTGCCTAGCTCTCCATGGGCCTGAAGACTGTGCAGCCATGGGAATGAGGAAAGCACAGTGCCAGGTCCAGCCACCCATAGCTCTGAGCTTGGCAGGGGGGCATTGCCAGGCCCTGAGGTTGGGTCAGTAGCTGCAGTACTGTAGCAGGCAGTGGGAGACAGTAGGATCAATCACCAGCCTACTGGGTCTCCTGCCCCCAGGCCTGCGAGGCTGGAGTCAGGTTGCAGGGCCCTCTGCTACCTGAGCTGCAAAGCTGCCTTATTCTTTTACTTACACCCAGGCAGGCAGTGTGCATGCAAGCGTGAGACAAGCAAAGGTCTGTGTCCACCTGCCTGTGTGTACACAGCCATCCCTAGCCCAGTGTAAGGGTTGTGTGTGTGGCAGGGGATGGGCTGAAGTTGTGCAAAGGCATTTACTTTTGGCATGCATACATAGATGTAGGTTTCTCCAACTGAAGGTGTTGCTCTATCTGTCTGTGGTGGCTACCTTTCTATGGGGTTTATGTGTCAGAAGGATATCAGAAACCACCTTCCCAAGGAAACCTCTCTACATACAGCCCACCACCCAGACTGACCCAAGGGGTTGCCAGGAGGCCTGTTTGTGTCTAGGCTGTATCTCTTGTGAGCTGATGATTGTAGATAGATAACATCTCTGAATCTCAAATCTCTATGGAATAAGAGCTGCCATGGGTGGCTGTGAAGAACATGTGGGAGCACATGGGGCTAGAAGCACCCCAGATCAGGCATGGAAGCCCCACCACATAGCAGGCTCCTCTTGTCTCCCCAGTCACCACCACCAGATTTTTGAATGGGAAAACCAAGACACAGCCAGACAAGCAGTTTGGCTAAAGCCACTAGGGGAGATGCTTTGCCCATCACTGCAGTCTCCCACACAAAGAATGAGAGGAGATGGAAGCAGCCAGACTCTGGTTCAAATCCAGCCTCTGCCTCCTTGCCTCCAGCCAGCTCCATGCCTTGGAGGCTGATTGCATAGCATGGGATACTCAGTACTTCCTCCAAGGCCACATGGACTCCAGTCACATTCTGGTGGTGTTCTTGGCCCTGGAGTGGCCTGTCAAGGGAGACAGAAGGCCAGGTAATAGCTTGGCTTTCTCGGCAAAGTGCTGGGAGGATGTTAACATCCCTGAGCCAGAAAATCCCTCATGAGGTTCAGGGTGCAGAGGTGCTGTGGACAGTGGCATCTGCTGTCATCACTACCACTGCGGCCACTGCTGCTTTTCGTGCTTTTTGTGCGTGGGGGGTCATCAGATGGGTTGACCAAAAGCTCGTCTGAAACAGACTGAGGGTCTGCTGAAGAGTCCTCTTCCCTTGAGCACCTGCTAGAAGAAAGGGGGCCGGGCATTAAGGACAGTCAGACAGGTAAATGTCGTCGTCTCTGATTTCGCACTCTGGAAAGGGAAGGAAGCCAGCTGCCATCACCCACCAGTGACAGGGTCCAGGGGCTCCAGCTACCTCAGAGAACAACACCCAGGTATGGCCACTGACCCACCACTTGGGCTTTGCCACTGGCCCAGATGGCACCTGGTCTTATTGGGAGTTACAGCTGGGGCCATGAGCCCTCACCTGTAAGGACTGGATGGCACCTTCCCTGGGAATGGCCACCAAAACCCATGGACTAGTGAGCATTTTGTGGCCACCGTTGATGGCAGGCCTCTGCTCTGAACACAGGGAGGGATTTGTCCTCCTACAAAAGGTCTTTTTGTTTGTGAGACTCAGGCCGGTCACAAGGAGAGAGGGCATTGTTAGCCCCTTGGGGGCTGTACATGAGGGAGATAAGAGGCTCAGGGTTCCCTCTGTCACACACAGAATATGTGTCACTCGCCTTTTGCCTGGCACATGTGATACTGGTGGGAGCCTTACAGAAACCGGATACAGGACATGGGTGTGTCATTACCCCCAAATGAGGAAACAGGAGCTCAGAGGTTAGAGCAACTTACCCAAGGCTATACATAGGAAGGACAAGAATCATATTCAAAGCCCAGGCTAAGCCGGGCGTTGGTGGTGCACGCCTTTAATCCCAGCACTCGGGAGGCAGAGCCAGGCGGATCTCTGTGAGTTCAAGGCCAGCCTGGGCTATCAAGTGAGCTCCAGGAAAGGCGCAAAGCTACACAGAGAAACCCTGTCTCGAAAAACCAAAAAAAAAAAAAAAAAAAAAAAAAAAAAAAAAAAAGCCCAGGCTAGCACTCTGGGCTGGGGTAGTGGCTCTGCTCTGGGACACCGGCCTGCTGGCCTGCTGTGATTGGCAATGGAAAACCCCTGCCTCCTCTCAGAGGGCAGCCTGGGGAGCTGTGAGGTGCAGAGGAAGGGTCTGAGGTCCAAGTGAGGCTCCTTGGAAGCAGGTGAGCCTGAAGAGCAGGTGGGGACCCTGAGAAGCAGGTGTGGGCTCTACCGAACAGGTAGGGCCCCATAGAGCAGGTGGGGGAGTCTAAGGTTCAAGTAGGGCTCCTGGGAGCTCCCTTGGGGTAGTGGAGGCCCCCGCAGAGAATATAGGTGCCCTAGAAGGTACATGGGGACCTGAAGGTGTGGATAGGGGCCCTTGAGATAAGGAGCGATCCCATGGAGCAGGCAGAGATTTTTGGAGCAAGTGAGGGACTGGGGGTGGGAGGGCAGAAGAGGAGGGAACCTGAGGTTCAGTTGGCTTCCTGGGAGGCAGGCAGAGCTTAGAGTATGCCTCCTGGTGAGAACATGGATAGAAAGCTTCTGCTGTCCCTCAGGCTTCTTCACTGTAGAGTGCTTTCCTAGGCTCTGACTTTAGGGACATGCTCTGTTTGGTTCGGGTGAGTTGCACTGAGTTGGTTTGAGTAGCACTGAATGTGTCCATGTAGACGCTGCATCTCACATCCAGCCTCCTGCCTCTTGCCAGCTTTGATTCTGAACACACCCCCACCTCTGCCCCTGTATCTTCGCAAAGGGAGGCAGAGTAGGCCTGAAGGTGTGTAGTGTCTGTGTAGGTGGCAGCTGCTCCCAACTTTATACCTGCCTCCCCAACTGCCCAGCCAGCAACCAAAGATGGAGCTGAGGCTGATGAGCAGCCTTGACCCTCTACCAGATGCTTCCCAAGGATTCAGTGCCCACACAGACCTTCCAGCCTGGATGTCAAGAGTGAGGCCCTGTCTGGAGACCCTAGGGCTCAGGGTTAGGCTTCAGGTCTCTGCCTACCACCATCACCACTCTGTGTTTTGCAGCCCCAAAGCACCCTCACACGCTCCTGGGTACCACCCTTCTAGGTTGAAGACTGTACCAAGTCTATTACTCTTGCAGGCTTCTTCTCACTTCACAGCTCCCTCCAGCCTTGGCCTCTGAAAAGACCCACTACCACCCAGAGTGCCCCGTATTCCCAAGCTGCTAGCCACCTTCAGCAAGCCTAGACTCACAGAGCAGGCCTCCTGGGGACAACCGCTCTGCAGACCTGTGGCACAAGGCTTCTGGGCATGGGCTTGTGTATTTTTAAAAGCCAGGTTCATTCTACCCATGGTCACCCATTTCTACACCAAAATGCCAAGGCTTGAAGAACGCACCCAGGCGACTACTACCCTCCATTTCCTTTCCCTGCCCAGAACCCCAAAACTCCAGAATGGTAGAAGCTGGACACAGGGACACCATAGGCATGACAGGGGCCCAGGAAACTGACTTCCACTTTATCTCAGTCATATGTGTTTCTGCCATCTGACTACCAGGGAAGTCATGTCATCCCTATAACAATGTTACCCTGGATCAGGATGACCTTGCTTGGTCTTGCCATGACCCTGGGTCCCTGGACAGGATGTACCATCTAGATCTGAGGGAACTAAACCAGGGTACAGCAGAGAATTCAGGACTGTCCTTGAGGAGGGAACCTTGAGAGTAACAGCTGAGTGGTGTGTGTGTGATAGGCTAGAATGAAGAAAAGAAACAGCATATGGCCCCAGAGCCCATACAGACCTCACCCAAGCCTACAGGCACCTCAGGATCCCTTGGACTGCTCCTCTACAGGTGTTGGCCCAGCCCATAAAGCAGGCGCTAGAGGCCTGGGGAGAGCCACCCGCTGGGCGAGTCTGAGTGGAATTGCAGGTGCTGGCTCAGCCCCTTCCTAGCCCTGTCTGGCCCAGCCAGCCGGTCCCACCTCCTGGCCTTTAGCAAGGTAAGGCCTAGACAGCTGAGCATACTGGCCCTCTGGAAAACATCCCAAGCTCACACTAGCTGAATAAGCAAGGTCTGCGTTCAAATCTACTTCCCCCCATGAAAGAGGTGGAGGCAAGACCTCTGTGAACCTCAGTTCCCTGGAGATGTCTTGAGGATTCAGTGGTTACGGTAAAAGTGATACCTGTATTGAATTCAAGGAGGAAAAAGGGCAGCTAGAGTCATGTGACCTAGGACCGGGACCCTCAGCCTCTGGCACTCAGTGTTGGGGTGATTAGCCAACCCTCAAGGACATCCCTCCTTGAGATGAGCCTCAGCTCCCAGTCCCTAGTTGAGGGACCTCCCAGTTCTTCATTCCCGTATCCCCACCTAAAAACAGAGCTACCAACTGTCACTTCCACGACTGTAGCCAGCTATGGGGAGTCGGAGCCCAGGTGGGTCTGTGAACAGTCTGGGAGCCCACCTTCTTCCTCGTTTCTGTCCCCACACCATAGCTGTCCTTGCTCGGTGAGTTCCTGTGGCCACCACAGCCACTGTATGACACAGCGGCCACCACCCCTCCCCCAACTCCTAGCCCAGCCTCCAGAAGTCAGTCTGCTTAGTGCTCTGGCCCATGCAGACTCTACTGTTAACCATTTCATCCTCCACAGTCCAATCTTTAGCCATTCACTCTCTACCCCTCCCCCTGGGCAGCCTCTCCCATTGAGCAGATTTGCCCCACACATGGAAAGTTCACCTACTTGTCAGCCCATAACCCCTACTTAAATCAACCCTCTCCCCACTCCCCCTCTCTACAGGCTGGACCCAGAAGGGCAGCAGAGGTCCCAGCCCTCCTCATAGCTAGTGCAGAGTGACCAGCGCACAAGGAGCCATGGACAGCTTCATGGAGTCGCTGAACAGACTGAAGGAGGCCCATGAGAAGGAGGTCCTGGGTGAGTGGCTAGTAGAAGGCTCCACTGTGCTCATAGGAAGATGGTCTGGGAGGGGGAGGGTGGTCTGTGAAAGCTGGGGAGCTTCCAAGGATCCCCTCTGTACTCAGTAAATCTGTCTGGAGAACAGAATCCTGACCCAGGGACACAAGCTGCATGCTCAGGGTTCAGAAGGCCAGCCTGGGCCCAGACTCGGCTCAGAGCACTTCCTCATCAGAATGTTTTCAGACCACACCCCATGGTGTGGACCAGGAGAGGGACATGTCCAGGGGTCACCATCAACACCTCGTGACCACAAGCTGCATCCAGCGCCCAAGCACGTCCCTGCGCAACGCCCCCTCCCGCAGAGGGAGAGGTTGCCCACTCTAGAGGATCCTAGGGCCATATGAAGTGTCTCCAGCACTGAACAGACACCTCCCCCTCCCCTCCAGGCCCTGCTAAGTGCCCTACTGGTCAGGGCACCCTCAGCCCACCTCATTGTAATTCCAATTCAGTCCTTGGAGGCCTTCCAGAAAGGGCCATTTGAAGGTCAAGGAAGCCAGACACTCCCTGAGCCTCAGGGAAGAAGCCAGTCTGCCCTTCTGGGAATCCCTAGGCCTACCCAGGCTGGGATCAGCCTCATTGGATCCCAAGGAGGTGTGTCAGTGAGAACTTGCTCTGAAAGCCTGCTGACGGCACACATCTAGTGTTAGGGGAAATGTCCCAGAAGCAACGGAAACAATACCTGACCGGATGTGCATGGGGATACAAGCTAGGGTCAATAGGAGAGGTGAGGCGTCAACACTGACCAAGAGGAGACCAGGCTACTCCCTAAAGAGGACCGGACCCTTTTTGGGCAATTGGTTTGGGCTGGCAGATAACCCTCATCAACCAAGGGACTTGGTTGGGTACACAGGAACTCAGGGTGGGGCAGAGGCTGCCGAGCCCCAGGGGCAAAGAACTTGCAGCTGCTGAGAAGGTAGATGCTGGCCCCACCCTAAGATCATGCTGATCTGAAGACTAAAGAAGAGAAAGACAGGTGCCGGGTCTTCCCATTCCATTCTCTGCACCCAATAGGCATTGGAAGGTCCAGAAGTTAGGGATACATCCAGCTTCCCTTCCCTAACACTGGCACTACCCACCCCCCAAAAAATTAGCCACTCTTGGGTGCTCTGCTCCTATCAGGTGGCCAGCCACTTCCAGGACCAGGGTCTCTGCCAACCTCTAATCAGATACTGAGCTAGGGTGCCAGGCCTCAGTTCAGGAAACCAGAGCATCTGGGCAGCAGGTGCAGATGGGGTGTCCTCCCCAAACCCTTCCAAGGCAGATAGCAGGAGTCTGGAGAGGATCCCATGTGACAACCAGGAGTTTGCACGTCACGCCTCAGCCCAGGCAGTGTTGTGAGGAAGCAGCTGGGCCGGGCCTAACCTGCACCTTTCCCTCCTCTCTGCCAGGCCTGCAGAACAAGCTGCTAGAACTGAACTCAGAGCGGTGCCGGTGAGTCAGCCCAGCCGAGCCAACAGAACAGGAGGGCAGCTGTTCTCCCAGGCTATGGCCACCCACACGGCCCCCAAGGGCCCAGGATAGCAGCGCCAAGGAAGAAGGGAAGCAGCAGGGCAGGGAGGCCAGGGAGTCTCTTGGCCAAGGTGGCAACTACTTACGTGGTAGAGCCAGAACTGGACTGTGGACATGTCAGCCCCGAGGGAGACCCAAGGAGACCAGAGCACCAGTGACAGTACTTGTGAGGTCCAATGCACAGCCTCAATTGCCAGTGGTTTGCCTGCAGGTCACCTTCCTGTGTCCCATCTCTGACTAAACCAGTGGTTCTTAACCTTCCATAAAATTATTTTCATTGCTACTTCATAACTGTAATTTTGCTACTATATATATATTACGTACCATAATGTAAATATCTGTGTTTTCTGATGGTCTTAGATGACCCTTGTAAAAGGATTGTTTGACCCTCTCCCCACCCCAAGGAGTTGTGACCCACAGAGAAACAATGAGAAACAATGAACTAGACCAGGGTCCATATGTGCCATAGCTAAGGTAACATGAAGACAAGACAGGCCAAGAGAACAGTTCTATCTGGGAGTACCGAACTGAGCCTCCTTTGAAGGGCCACACTCCAGGACAGGTTCCCACAGGGAGCTGCCAGGGATGACCCACCCAAACCCAGGCTATGCTGGGCATCAAGACCAGCAGCCCACCTCAACTGTTTGCCACACAGGGATGCCCAGAGAGTAGAGGAGCTCTTTGCCAAGAACCACCAGCTCCGGGAGCAGCAGAAGGCACTGAAGGAGAACCTGAGGGTGCTGGAGAACAGGTGAGGTGCCTCCTCCCAGAGCCAATCTGGGAGGCTTTAGCACAGACCAACCCAGTCAGATGTCTTCAAAGTAGGGATTTGCAGGACCTTAAGAGAACCTTCTTTCCAAAATTCCTTCCAAAACTTAATTGCACATGGGTTACTAAGCCCTCCTCAGCAGGAGACAGGCCGGGGGGACCATGGAACACAGCTGGGAAAAGCAGGACATATCCTGGCAATGGGGCAGAAGGAACCAAATGTCAACTTCTCCTGTCCCCAGGCTGCGGGCTGGCTTGTGCGATCGCTGCATGGTCACTCAGGAGCTGGCCAGAAAGAAGCAGCTGGAACTGGAAAGTGCACGCCTGCAGAGCCTACAGCATCTCTGCATCCTCAGTGAGCCACACCCACAGGCCAGGGACCCCAGAGCCTGGCCAGCCCACACAGAGCCACAGGGAAAGGAGGAGAAAGCATGGCACACTCTGGTTCCCAGACACGTGGGATGAGGCCCCCGGTGACCTGTGTCTCTTCTCACATCAGTTCCTGGGCCAGGGCAACCCCACTCTCCTGACCTTCCTGGGGGAGCCCTAGGGACAAGCTGGAGTGCCGGCTTCACCCTTCTGCAGACCTCAGGCAGAGGTTGACTCAACACCATCCCACCGTCCACTCCTACAGCCAGTATTATTATACTCCCTCCTGCTATGTGCCAGGCTAGAGCAAGACAAGGAGGGCTTCCCTGGTACTGTGGGAGTCCCTTGTCTCCAACCTGCCCCGTGGCCTCACTAATCACCAGCCCTCTTTGCAGCCAATGAGATGAATGGGCTGAGGGAAGAAAACAAGCTCCTGAAGGAAGAAGTGAAGAGGCTTCAGAGCCTGGGGTGAGTGGGACAGCACAGGCCCAGACACCTGCTCAGCAGGCTATGTCTTCCTAGATTCCTGCCCCACAGAGCAGCCTGGCTACCCTGGGTACTCCAGCTTCTGTAGCCTCATCATCAGCCTTGTGTCTTCTCCAGAGACAAAGCTGCACCCCAGGCCTGGGAGGGCACCTCAGGGCCCCCATCACCCATACCTCTTCCCTCACCCGGTAACCGGAAGGGTGCCACCGAGAACCCCCCAGGAGGCCCGGAGGAGGCTGAGGAAGAACAGCCAGGCACAGGTCCACAGGGTTGGTGGGGAGGCTGGGAGATTGGGCACTTTGGGGATCCCACAGCCTCTCCCAAGCTCCCTCTCATTCTTCCTCCCACAGAGAAGGTGTCAAGCCACAAGACATCCCCTGTAGCCAGAATCTCCCCAGCTGCCAACCTGCCTGAGTCACGAGCCCTGGACATGGTGAGGACATGTGTCCTGACCCCTGCCCGCCCCCTAAACACTCAGTTGCCATCCAGGCAAGCGGGCTGGCAGCCATAGTCCTGCCATGTGCAAGTACTATGTGCCAGCTTCACACCCATCAGGTCTGTCCCCAGGCCAGACAGGGACACTGAACCTCATGGGAGGCGGGGGAGGCCAGCCCGGGGAGGCGCCCTGCCAGGCTGACCTGCCCACCCTGCACAGAGCCCTCAGTGCATCTCCAACCAACTGCACTCGACAGTAGCTGTGGTGCGGCCAGGCTCCCGGGCCTGCCCACCAGACTGTGGCACTGCCAACGGCACACCCCCACCGCCATCCACCAGAAGCAGCCCACCCAGCCCAGCATATGAACATGGCTTCCCTGTGGACAGGTAAGGCCCTACCCACTGCTGAGAGCAGCTCTCTGCTGGCACCCCACAGCAGAGAACCAGCAGCCTGAGGAGTGCTGCTCAGTATCTCTCCAGGAAACCTGCCGTCCCCTGGGTTGACTTTCTGGACATCCAGGTTGACTCACAGTTCCCACATCTCCTGCATGACCAGGCCATGGTAGAGGCAGGACTCTGGTATACACCTTAGCTAGGGCACTCAGAAGACCTATGTAAATCCCGAGTCTTGTTGCCTAGCAGAGCCAATGGGGCTGTGGGAGATGGACAGGATGACCAGACACCCTAGGTAGCTAGTACCCCCCCACACACACACAGCCTAGTTCACTTCCTGTTGCTATGATAAACAAACTCTGTCCAGGAGTTTGCAACTTAAGGGAGGGAAGGGTTTATTTCAGCTCCCAGGTCAAGGTTCCTCACTGAACAAGGCCTGCTTGCTGTTCTATGCAGCATTACCTCTATCAGGGAACTCACCGCAAGGATGTACAGCAGGAACCATGGAGGACGATGCTTGCTAGCTGGCTCTTACACTTAGGTTCAGTTAGCTTTCTTATGCAGCCTAGGAGCATTTGCCCAGGGGATGGTGCCATCCACCATGGGCTGGGCTCTCCTACATCAATTAATAATCAAAACAATCTCCCATGCATCAGCCAATCAGATCTGGGCAGTCCCTCAAAAGAGACACTCTTATCAGGTGACATTGTGTCAAGCTGACAGTTAAAATTAACTAAGGAGGAACAGGACCCAGTGTCCAGGCTCTGGGTCTTCTTTGGCCCAATCTGCCACCTTCTATACACCGTGACCTCAGGTGGCTTGCCTGACCATCCATGAAGTGGGGTGTCTGTTGTGTTCCCTCTGGGAGCTCACTTAGCCAGCCACTGCTGGCCAAGGGCCAGTGTCATCATCCTTCTCTCCCTCTAGCTTCCTGCGGGTCTCCCGGCCATCAGCCATAGCCTATGAGACCCTGAAGCGCTCCCTTCAGACGGATCGCCTCTGCCTTCTGAATCGCCACCTGTCTCTGCACCTGCAAAGCCCCCACAGCAGCCCCCTGGCTCCTGCTATAGCTGCCCGTAGCCCCCTGCCCCAGGGCCTGAAGACTAGAGAGGCCGAGGCATGGGAGGAGCCGGGTGCCTTGGTGGGCATACAGGACCCACGGCTGGAAGGAGCACTGCAGCTGCTGCTGGTTCAGCAGCAGCTGCGAGCCCGGGCACGGGCATGCAGTGCCAGGCTGAGGGTCCCGTCCACACAAGAAGACGTGCCATCTTCCCCACCAGCTGGCTCGGATTCTGAGAACTCGGAGAGTGAGGCCCCCAGGACAGCTCTGAGCACAGAGGCCCAGCCTGATGGGTGGCACCCTCAGTCCACAGGCCAATGTAGCCCCCCAAGGAAGGAGATACATGTGACCACTCAGGACTGTCCCCCAGACAAGCCTCTGGACCTCTCTGACCGGGGACGGTGTCGGGACATCCCCAAGTCCACTCTCAGCACCACAGCTGGCCACACTCCCAGCCCCCAGCTGACCACCTTGTCCAGACCCGTGATTCACAGCCCCCATACTCTCAGCAATGGCAGCAGCACACAGACCAGAGCTCGGGAGCCTGAAGAACACTCCACTCCCAAGGTAAGGTCCCAGTCCTGTTCTCATCCTCTGTGCCACTGCACTGCAGGATGGCATTAAATCTCCTTGGGCTGCCTTCTCTCTGTCCCACCAGTTGGTTCCAAAGAGCAGCATCGATATCCTGCTCATCCTTGGAAAGGATTAAATACCTACTACAGCCTGAAGATGGAGTTGGCTCAGGGACATACATACAGAGAGAGAGAGACAGACAGACAGACAGACAGACAGACAGACAGACAGACAGAGTCAAAACATTAACTTGCCTCTCCCAGGATACCTCACACCCTCTCCCAGGGACCCATGCCAGCCTGACCTCTCCTGGAAGAACAGCAGAGGAGGCTGGAGGAAGGCCCAGGCCAGTGCCCCACCTGCAGAGGCCTGACACTGATGGGACCACAGGTAAAGTCAGCACTCAGAGCACCAGTCCAGTGGGAAGGGGTGTGCAGTGGGAAGGG